ACCGTCATGCTGCAACCATAAAGATGAAGAGTTGCAGCAAAGAATTTATAGCACAAAGACTAAAATGTTTATTACTGGATTTATGGGGGAAATTGCAAATGATAAAAATAAGAGCAATAGGAAATATTATTTAGTACATACACTATGTCAAGGTCACGTGCTGTAGAGTGAACTATGTTTAGAAATAATTCATGAAGAGTTGTTCTTTTGATTTGTTTGTTTTGTTTTTATGTGAGATCAGTTAGGTGGCTCACCCCCAAGTCTGGCAACCTGAGTTTAATCTAGAAGCCACATATTGGAAGGAAAAAAACAATTCTAGCAACTATCCCTCTGTCTTCCACAAGCATGCCATGACACTTGACATGTCCCCTGAATAAAATAAACTAATGTAAGAAGAAGAAAAGATTTCTCTGTTGTATGATTTTTGTTTGTGTTCTGACAAATAAAGCTTACCTAGAGATCAGAAGGCAGAGCTGGCCCCTTATTAACCATAGAGGCCAGGCAGTGGTGGCACACACTTTTAATCCCAGCACTTGGGAGTAGGAAGCAGGAAGATCAACAGTTCAAGGGCACCTTAGGCTATACGAGATTGAACCAGTCTAAAACAGAAACAGAGCCAGGCAGTGGTGGATCACACCTTTGATCTCAGTGCTTAGGATCTCATACCCTTGATCTCAGCACATAGGAGGCTCACACCTTTAATCCCAGCACTAGGGAGGTAGAGACAAGAATATAAAGTGGATGGAGACAGGATCTCGGGGTCCATTCAGTCTGAGCATTTTTAGAGACAGGCTCTCTTCTCATTCAGCATGAGATTTCACAGAGGTAAGAACTCTCTAGTGACTGCTCCTTTGCTTCTCTGATCTTTCGGCTTACACACTAACTAATATCTGACTCCAGGGTTTTTGTTGTTGTTATTGTTGTTGTTGTTAAGACTAATTAGGATCGTGCTTCCTCTCTCTCTCTCTCTCTCTCTCTCTCTCTCTCTCTCTCTCTCTCGCTCTCGCTCTCGCTCTCGCTCTCTCGCGCTCTCTCTCTAACTTGGTATAAAGTAGATCCTGATAATAACTCTTAAAGAGTTTTCAATTTACATTTACATTAGAGGAAACTCATTTTTAATCCCATGGTTTAATCCTCGTTTTGCAAAATAAGAAAATAAATGTACAAGGGTTTAAGAGGAAATCAAGATTTTAACTACAGTCATGTATAAATTAGTCACATTTTAGAAAATATTCTTTTGTCAACAAAAAGCCTTTGTAGTCGCCACAGAACAAAATCTAGGACAAAAGAATTGAACAAAGCATGCCTAGCAAATCAGGTAACACTATAGCCTCCTGCAGGGGTGTGGCTTCCCTCCTGACAGCTCAAGTTGTTGCTGCAGAGGAGACATTTCCCAAGGTAGTGGGACATTGTCATCTCCTCCCCGACAGAAAACCTTCATGCTCTCAGAGCACACCTTCTAAATTACAATACTTAGAAAAGTTTCGTTCCATTTTGTCTTTAGACTGTGCAAAATACAAAAGATGAGGAACAACTATTCTCATACTAGAAAGAAAACAAGATGTTGGGTGCCTGAGACACATGGGAGAATCTGTTCCCAAGGCTATCTGGAATAGAGTCAATTTCGTGGGAGGACCCGGAGAACACAACCCGTGGACTTTCCCACGGTCAGCAAGCATCCTGTCGTGCTCCCTTCTGTCAAGTACCAGCTTGTCTCTACAACACAGAAAACTGCCTCTCTGAATCCTCTAATTTGTATGTAGACACATGGGCACAAATGTTTGTCAGATCAGAATCAAGAACAAATTTTTATGAGAAAATTAAATATGGAGAAGCTTTATTTAAAAAAAAAGACAGCAACAGATTACAGGGATGAAAGAAATGATCAAACTTTCATCAACACCCCTACTCCTTTCATGCACCTTGCCATCAGCACAGAGTCTCTGGGCGAGGCCAGTCCTGCACATCCTATGTAGACACAGGCCAACTCTGCAGATCCTCCTTTCCAGGCAAAACTCTTTGCACGGAGCGGGCTCTCAACAACGACTCATCTTCATCTGTGAAAATACACAGACCAAGGGCTGCTGATGAATGAAAAGGACTTGTTGCAGCTTACAGACTGCAGGCCACCATTGATGGAAGCCAGGGCCAGGTATCAAACAGAAACTCAAAGGCCTGTCTCCTTGGTATTCCACATAGCTCTAACCAGGGACCTCATTCACAAGGAAGAACAACAACCTTGGTATCAGATGCTGCTTGCTGCCTGAGTCACTCAGGTTTATGCGTAGCTAGCTTTTTTATTCAGCCCATGACCGCCTGCCCAAGAAATTGTATCACCTACAGAGGTCTTTACATCAGCCCATGCATCCAGGTCCCTGCCCTTGTTGAGTTCCTGTCCAAACTATGATGTGGAAGTGCAAGCCAAAGAAACCCTTTTCTCCCCAACTTGTTTTTGGGTGTGGTGTTTCATCACAATCTAAGACATAAACCAACTGGACAAAAGCAAAGAACTAAACTGAACACAAGTACATGTAACTACAGTCATTAATATTTGACAAAGATACTAAAAACTTAAATTTGGAGGGAAGGGTGTATCTTCCAACAAATAGTGCTGGGAAAATTGAATGTCCACATGCAGAAGAATGAAGTTAGAGCCATACCTATCATCTAGCATAAAAACACTCCAAAAGGATCAAAGACCTAAGCATGAAACCTGAAACACTGAAAGTGTTAGAAAAAACATGGCAGTACCCTACAGGATGTAGGAAAAGACTTCCTGAGTAGGATTCCATTTGATCAAAAATAAGCCCAACAACTGATAAGTGGGATTTCATAAAACTAAAAATCCCCTACATAGCTAAAGAAACAACCAGGTAAACAGGAAGACTACAAAATGGGAAAGAATATTTGCTGGCTATTCATCTGACAATTGATTAATGTGAAGAATATATATTAAAAAAATAACTTAAAAAAAGCAAAGAGCCAAATAAAACAAAAAACATGACCCATTCAAAAACTAGGCTTAGCAGGGGGATTGGGATCTGTCCCTGGTCTATGGACAGGCTTCTGGAACCCGATGCCTGTAGTGTGACACCTTGCACAGCCTTGGTGCAGTGAGAAGGGGCTTGGACCTGCCTAAGCTCAGTGTGCTGGGCTCTGCTGACTCCCCATGGGAGACCTTGATATGGGGGATGTGAGGATGCAGGGTGGCTTGGGCTGGGGGGGTGGGAGGATGGAGGAGGGGGATCTGTGGAGTGAGTAGAAATTTTCTTAATAAAGGGGAAAAAAAAAAACAAGGCCTGGGATCTGAATGGCAAGATCTCCAAAGAATAAAAAAAGTATGGCTAGAAAATACCTTTAAAAAAGTTCATCATCCCTAGCAACTAGGGAAATACAAATCAAAACAACCCCAGTCAGAATGACAAAGCTCAACACAATAATCAACTACAAATTCTTTCTCTTCATCATTGACTTCATGTGTCTTTAAAGGGATTGGTGTGATCTCTACGGGGATGAAGCAATTGACACCTTCTGGTACTACTATTTATGCTGTGAGCAAATGTCAAAGACCTTCCTGTCACAAATGTGCCCACTGCCTTGTCCACTGACACCACAGAAACCATTACTCAACTGCTTCTGCCTTACTAGAACTTAAGGAGAAAGATATCTCAGTTGCAGGTCTAGATCAGAGCCATAAAGTGTACCTCTACTTTTAATCCCTTCAAAGCTTCATTAAATGCTTAAAATTCTGTTATACATTCCAAAGTATTGCAATCATGCAGTCTCTTCTGCATAATACTGCACATAAGATAGTATACTCAGAGCCACCAAAATACTGCTAGTGTTCATATACAAAACAGGCATATGTTGTTTCCTTAAAAACACATCACCAATTTTAGAGAGAACAAAGGGGTGCTTGGGGGCAGGAATTAGAGGAGAGAAAGGAAAATGGGAATGATACAATCCCGCTATAATCTTCAAAATATATTTAAATAAAAGACATCATAAGAAAAGCAGCTACATTTTTGGTTGTGAGCCTAGCCTTTAATGGCTGAGCAAACTACACAGAGAAACCCTGTCTCAAAAAGCAAAA